AGTTGTAAATTTTTGACTCGGTTGAACCGTTTTGACACGGGTGACACGGTTTACTATAACCCGGTTCTAAACTCTATGAAAAACATATTGGTAAAAATCGAGTTAACACGCCTTTGCTTTATTTGATGTAATAAAAATCATCATCAGTTTATATAGTGACAAAAATGAATTAAAAACTGTATATCATCGGTTTTCCGTAAACACCTACTGAAGGTTTACATTTCCTGCCTAATAAATTTCTCGGAAATCTGTACAAAAGAATAGTCATTGGTCCAGAAGTTGATTCAGTGAAATGCATTCTCACAACAAAGTTCGGAACTTTCACCAGAAATAAATTTATTTCCTACTATCCTTCAATCATAGATTTCAGGAGATAATTAAGAACATATTTGATATATCAACTTTTCTGGCTTCGAACATATTCGTGAATTAGGAAAGAGAATTAATGAAATAGGTAAATGGATAGATAATAGAGTTGCCATTTTTTACTAATGTAAAAGGATCACCATTTACCAAGAATTAATAACGTTTCACCCACAATCCAGGCTTAATATTAACCGTACGGTAATGTGTTATGGGGTTGAATATCTGTATATATGAATCTTTTTTTAGCCTTATAAAGAAAATATATTAATATATTACCACATGTTAATTTTGATTGATTCTGAGCTTTTGGATCCTTTTTGCTATAGCAGTCGAATGACGATACATCTTCCAGAGTACGCGACTCCATAAGTCTTGGACATGCCACGCAAGTCGGTTGACATAGGAAGGATGTGAAGGCAACCGCAACCGCAACCACCCAAAGAGTGGAAGTTATCAAGCAAACAAATTCCAGTACTCCCGAAAATTTGCCCTCAAGATACACAAGTTACGACGACCCTCGTCACTCTCTTTTAATCGATACATCTTCCAGAGTACGCGACTCCATAAGTCTTGGACAGGCCATGCCAGTCGGTTGACATAGGAAGAATGTGAAGGCAATCGCAACCGCAACCACCCAAAGAGTGGAAGTTATCAAGCAAACAAGCTCCAAAAGAAGACTAATGGGTTTGCCCTCAAGATAAACAAGTTACAACTACCCTCGATTAAAAGGCTAAGAATATGTGGAACGTTTGATGCAGGGACACGGAAAATTTTGGAAAAAAAAATTTTTAATCTAATCCAAAGTTTTGACCGATTTTTGAGGTTTCATGTGACTCAACCAATAATGAAGCGTATCTGTCGGGTTTGATGGTAGTTAATTAAAATTTGCATCTTCCCCTAGATCGCCTCCAAAATTCCACCCACAGGTTAGGGTGAGTGCCTATTATAGGGTGTGGTTTATGCAGTTATATAGTAAAATCGCTCAAGGAAAACTTTTTGTTAATGCGCAGAAGTGATTTAATATGCAATTTTTTGAGAAATAAGCGATTTTTGTCAAAACGAACGTTTGTTTTGAATTTTCAACGTTACACCTGATCTTGAAATGTGATTGGATCCTGATCACGTGTAAGCGGCGACAGAGACACGGAAAAATTTGTATATAAATTATAGCTCACATGATTTCGTATAACATATAATGTAAATTTTGATTGGCTAATAGCTGATTATTGGCCAATCAAATTGTATATAAAATAGTTAAGGCATGTCTGAAATGTGTGCCAGGTTTGTGGCGTAGCAAAAACCTTTAAAGTTCATTAATATTAGGGTTAGCGTGGTT